CAGCTTTTAGTGATTTTCGGTATGTATGGTCAATGTGTGCTTTTAGCTCTTACTTTCTGAGCAAGAAAGTCGAAAGATATCCTATCTCCTAATTTCACATTGGGCTACAATTGTTTTGTTATTTCTATGATGTAAGAAAACCAGCCAGTCTGTAAAACTTTGAATATTGAGATTCGCTCATCTCGTATGAAGCCATGTCTCACACACACACACACACACACACACACACACACACACACACACACTCACACTCACATGTGTATATATATTGTAAACCGGTCTGCTAGCTCAGTGGGTTCATCTGGACACCTTTCTAGTGGGTGGATTTGATGGGCGTTGTTGCAGGTCGCAAGAAAAACAGTGAAGATAATTGAACAACAAACAGCATTTAATTTATGCTTCCAGATAAAATTACACTAAAAACCGTCCTCATTTGGGAAAAAATGAGCTCGTGTGAAAACTTTTAAAGTTAGTTTTAAAATTTACTCTTAATGTTAATGACAAAAGTTTTATCAGTATCGGTAATCAGGCCAATGCGCTGCCACGCTTATTCTCAGAAAAACGTTATTCAAACAATAATCTGAATTTAGCTTGAAGAACTTTATTTTAGGTCCAGGGTTTCCTTTGAAAACAAAGGAGATTCACCGGTCGTTTCGTCCGCAGTGCTCGTGGAGGTCGTCAACCTCAACAGCTGGGCAGGCTGCTGCGTCAAAGGGGGGAGGTGGCCAGAATGGAGTTAGTTGGGCAGGGGCGAGCCGAAGGAGACGGCCACCGCGCTTGCCCTCCGATGAATGGATGGCGGACCTCCGACCCGCGCAGACGACCTTTTACCACTTTCGTCACGCGGTGTGTTCTCGTTACTGTTTAGTGCGTGGGGGAAAATTTCTTGGTTGTTGCGGCTGGCTCAAATGAATTCAGGGAATTTTCGTATTAATTTATAACTTGAATTTTCCGGCCCCCGTGATTAATTTTGTTCAATAGTTCTGACAAAATGAGACACAAAAATAAAACATTCGCGTCAGACCGGAGTTTTCAGAAATATTTACTTAAAATTTCAGGCCAACCTGAACTAACGGAGGAAAATTTCCCATGTGTGTGGCACGCCACAATGAAAAATTTACCCAACTTTGGCGACCGATTCCACTACTCGCGTCAGTGCGTCCACCCTCTGATCTCTATCCCGTCTTTCTGCCTTCTCTCTTGTCACGGATCGCTCTCTTGAAAACTTCTTCACCCTTCAAACCTCTAGGCTCCCAGATTCATCTCTTCCCTGAATATTCGCTGTCATATTGGAGAAAGCTTGCTACGTCGTGCTTAATTTCCCACCAATCGCTGGTCGAGCTTTCATAGAATTGTCGTTCCCTGACACTGACAAAAGTTGATACTCGGCGCACGTGCGCAGCTGTGCGTCTCCTTACAACCGGTTTCTGCATTAACTCCCATCGTCGCATTAAAAGCAATTTATCAGGTCCGGGGATTCTCCTTATTGCAAGACCAGTCCTGTTCTGGAAACAGGGTGCGTCCGGGCAGAGGGTGGCTCGGGAGGACGTAAACAAACACGACCCAGAAGCGGGCCTTCCCATTGGTGGGTGCCGGGTGGCTGGCGGTCCTAAACATCAGGGGAGGGGCGAGACGGAAAGGCCCATGTTCATCTCAGTTAATCGCAAAAAAAGAGATTTGTCAATATTTTACTACGTTTCTTACATTTCAATCGTATTTCACATAAAATTACTCTGATTATAGCTCTGATAGAGTATGTNNTATATATATATATATATATATATAATATATATATATATGTTGCACATGGGAAAGTAGTTACATCGTTTCACTTGGAACACACTGAGCTGAAGAACACTTCTGAGCACATTAGTATCTCTGAACTAACGAAAATCATAGTAATGAAAGCTAGCAGACGTTAAACACATTCAAACACCACAAGGAGCGCCGCAGCCCTGCCAGCTTTTAACACACAAAAGTTTATTTCTAACATTAAGAGTCCCAACAATACCATCTCGGAAGGATCTTGGTCTTCCAGATCATTTCGCAACCTTATCGAGGAGTTCATTGCTCTA